AATTTTTTTTTTATTTTTTTAAATTGTGGTTAATGTTTGCTATGCTTCACTCTCCATTCATATTCACACGTGAAAATTCAGAGTAAATATTGTAAAGCCAGTGAAATTATACCTTAGATTCAGCTGTAAAAGGGAAAGATTAATAGCAGCTGCAAAATTTAGTCTTCAATCACATTCACATACAGTGGATTTGGCTCTTTGTATCAATTGCTACATTTTATTAATGGGTATTAATAACCAATTAAAACAACACAATGATGCAACAAGATGCACAGCACAGATTAAAAATAGTAGTCACAGAATTAAAGTGTAAATCTTTCTTTACTTCACAACCGAGCTCCCCCATGATCTTGCTCAGATTTCTTCTAATTTCTATAATTATATGTAGTATTAGATTATGATCAAAATCAATGTCTGAGTCTAAAAAAAACCCCATATTGTTTTAATGCAACCAAAAAAACCCATATTGTTTTAATGCAACAGCACTGAGGGCACTTCAAACAACTCTGCAGCTGTCACAGTTGGAGTATTATGTGTTCAGAAGTGTGAATCTCTGATCTCAAGTAATGTCTTCTTCATGGCTTACTGAATTTTCTTTTTTACTTATTAGTATGTACAGGTGACCTTATTTCTGATGTGAGTGTACACCTTTAACATTTGGACCTTCTGCTTGTTTGCTCTTTGATAAATGAGTCCTCTGTAAAAAGGACGCATTGCAATTAATGAAATGCTTGTACTCTGCATCTGTGTACAAGGTTGAGTGACTGGGAGTCATTACTGGAAGTGTTAAAAGAGGAAAGAGCAATATGGGGATCTATGTCCTGAGGGTATACAGTGCTCTGAGAATCTATTGAAAATAAACAACTTTGAATAAAAGTTACACAATGCACAAGAACTGCACGGAGTAGATACAAATACTTTGTAACCAGCAGATGGTATTCACTCACAGTGGCAAACTCAATAGGCCATGATTTTTTGTTTATCTATTGTTGAACAAAGACCCAAAAGTTTTTGAACTTTAGTAGGAGATTATCCGTTCAAAATGATGGTTGTACCAACTTCAAAACATGAATAACAGAGTGTGCTGTTGTGCACTGATAAGGTAAACTTGGAAACATTGCATCTGATGGGCAGTTGTTGCTTTCCAGCAAATAGTATATTACTCCCAAGAGATGAAGACAGTAATTTGACCCCATATATATTCAGTGTGCTCCATCAGATCTGCTCTGGAGAAGTCCTCTTTTCTTCAGGTGAGGAATGTTCTTTTTGGAGCAGATGTGGGGCAGATCCCTTGCATTCTGTCATACACTTTGCCACGAGCACAGTTATCCTCAGGTTGTACCTTAAGAAATGAAGTCTTACCACATTTGTTAAATGAAATCTGTAAAGTCACTTTACCTCTCTTTGCCTGAAACAGAGCTAACCCCTCTGGAGGTGCTGAAAAATTCATTTTAGCATCCTCAAACCAAAATAGGAAGAGCTGAGGGGGAGCAGTATATACTAGAATATTTATTATTGTCCTTGCCAAAGAAGCTAAAGCATGATCTTTCTGGACTCTATTAGTGGTTGAAGCAAACTGAATTTATGGGCCTTAGTCACTTGTTTATTTTGGAAGGGTATCTGAATACATATATAAGTATGTACCAGAATAGAGTCCAGGACACCACTTACGGCATTTAAATCCCATAATGAATCACAAGTTGAGGATATGATTCAATACCTTAAATTGCATTATCAGATTTGTGACTCATGGTCAATGACACCAAGTCTGGCAGTGTTCTGAATGATGCCTTCAGGAACAACGTTTGATCATTTTTCTTATGGTTGTAAGGTTAAGGTGCTACGCATTCAGGTCACAGTGCTATGTTATTGCAGTACAACCAGCATGTTGCAAAGAATGGTTTGTGTTTCAAAAGCACTTGCAAAGAGCTATTCTCCCTAACTTTCACCGGCTGTTCCAAACTGCAGCATAATTTCAAAGTGAGATACCCTCAAAATACTGAATGTTATATTGCATATATATATAGTTGCAGGTAAGAGTAAAAATGCTTTTTATCCCTCTGACTCCTCATAGTGTATATAGCTGCTGAGAGGCAGCAGTAGTTAGAGCTCTCCTAGCCTTCATAGCAGCATCTTGGCCTATACCCCTTCTTGCAAGACTGGCTTATATCCCTAATGTGCTTCAATGCTGTGTGACTGGCAGGAACAGCAACACTTGCGAAATGACAATGTTTCAGATCTATGTTTTACAGCTAGCAATTGCTGCATTAGCAGCAAGGCTCTAGGGATTCAGGCTTCTTAAAGCAAAGACTTTTTTAACAAGAAAAAGAAATAAGAGCAAGAAAAATGGCATTTTTAAGCAAGAAGATTAAGGAATAATCAGTTCTCACTGTAGTTACTCAGAATACACACTGGAGGAACCTTGGGCTAAGAGGAAGAAAGTAAGTAAATGAACTGATTATTCGTGATATAACCAAATTAAGTAAGTCTTTGGTTTACCTTCACAGTCCTGTTGCCAATTTGAGAGGAATTATGCTATGCCCAGTGGTATCAAAGGCTGTGCTGACATCGAGCCAACAGCAAATACTCATTCCCTGTTTCTGGTGGTCTATACGTTATCTTTACAACACTAGCCACAGGAATGATTCATAACTTTCTCTAAGGACTACTCCACACTGAAACTATAAACAATGCTGTAAGTCAAGCATTGAGGAAAATGTCTGTGAAAGAGTATGAACAGAAAGAAATCATAAGCAGCCTCTTTCTCATGAAGCTTGTCCACAGATGCTGACAGACACAGAATCATACAAGTGGCTTTGTTGCAAGAAAACCTCTGAGATCTTAAGGTTACAATTTGGATAACGTCATTAAGCGAAGACAATGAGCTTCTAAACCTCCTTCTGTGATTCATACAGTGAGTAGTGCCACCTACATCTAATCTGTGTCTGGCTGAAGTGCCAAAACATTAAGGTATGTGAAGAAATCAACCTACTGAATTTAGAGTGGGTGTCTTGCTTTGAGAGCAAGTAAGTTCTTAGGACAAACATTCCAAGCTGGGAGAAGCCTAGGATGACTAGAAGCAGAGTTGCTAGTCATGGTGGAAGTTAAACCAGATCCTCATTGCTGACTCCTTTTAAATACTAAAAGACACAAAGTTAGTTGCTGTAGTAGCGGTGGACACAAGTTGGGAAATTCTCCACTTAATCTATTTTTTCAGTAGAAAGTCTGTTCTTTCAAGATGGAGCAGACCTGGGTCCTGAGCCAGCAAAGCAGTAACACACCTCATCCTACCTGGATGGTAGATCCAGTGTGCTTTCTGATAACTTAGCTGTGAGTTTTTGTAACAAGTATCCTTGTGCTTTGCTTGCACATAGCTGATGTAGCTCAACAAAGTGACAAAGCCATAACATCATCTTCCTTCAAGTCGTTCCCTAAAGCTCTGCTTTCCTTACTAGAGGTTTGATGGCTTGCCAATGCACTAGGGCTGTTGCTATCAATGCTGATCAAATATTGGCCCATAATTTCAATGTGATTCTCCAGCTGCATGGACACGTGTTATCTCTGAGACTGTAAATGCAGCATGGCAGGAACTCCTGCTTTCTGTTCACAGCCAAGAAAATAAAATCTTTGCCCAGGAAATGGCTCCCAGGCTTAACGATAACAAAACTAGTAGTGTTCATGTAGTGACATTAAGAACATAATGAGCAGCCCTGGGAGACCTGGATGAGACTGATCGACATCCTGCAGGATAAACCTTTTTTTTTAGACAAGCGTGTATATTTTATCTATGCCTCAAGCTAGCAGGAAGCAGACCAGGTTGGGTACAACAGGTAATTAAGCTGTATCACTAGTTTCTTAGGTTTTGTTGTTTTTTTTTTTTTGTCAGAAACTGTTCTTATTTATTTCTGCTGCGTTGTAAACTCCTTACCAATGTTCAGGTAACACAGTTTCTGTGTCTTGGGCATGTTACAGTCTTAGTGTAAAAGAAGGAAGTTTAGCCTCATCATCTTACAAAATGGCTTTGTTATTCCAGGCTGGATAAAACTTGTTAAAACCCAAACAAGCGGTGCTGTGTACTCAGTGCTTTCTCTGCTGTGAAGTAGTGCTCATTTTTCAGAGGCAGACAGAACAGATGGGGTTGGTGATGTGTTGACTAGAATACACACAGTGAAACCTGTGCATCTGTCAGGAGAGGAATATATTGGTTTTGTACAGACAATCATTTTGCATTTACACAGATTTAAGCCTTTGATTTGGGCTCTTGTCTAGGAACAAGCACTTCAGTCATAGTAACCTGTTACTATGGATGGGTTATTGTAGGACTGAAATCTTTCTTTTATTAAAAAAACCCTCAACCTTTTGCTATTTACACCAGGAGTAACGGTGAAAATTATTCCCCGGGACTCTCTTACATCCCAGCTCTGGTAAGTGGGACTTGTTCAACATGTATTCTCCCATTCTTAAAATGAGCTGCCAATCTATCACACATCTTTACTTAAATAGTTCTAACAGTACACCTATTTATCTTCTCTTCAGCATAACAGCAATTAAAAAAACCAACACCCAAACACTGTATGATAAAATTAATTCTACCACATCACTGGTAATTTGTGTTAGTGTTTACCCAGTTTATACCAAGAAAGAAAGAAAATGTTCATGTTTGTTTTCTTTTGAGGAAAGGTAAAATAAAAAGAGTATTTAAACCCCACAGTGTCACTAGGCCACCAGAAGGGAGCAAGGATATTCTCTCATCTCCACCTGAATATCAAGTCTGTGACAGTAAGGCCTCATATGGGAATCGCACTTGTATTTCTCTGCTGACTTTTCCATCACTTCTAGATTTTACCATTGATATGCAAAACCACCTTTTCAATGTATTTTCAGTCTGAAGAGCTTAAAGCTGTTCTGTAGCATGTTATTCACTCTTACACAAGTATCCCTTATAGGTCTTTTCTCACATTAAGATACACAATATCAAAAAGAAATGCAAAAGAGAGAAGCACAAGAACAGCAAGAATTTTATTCCCACAGACTTTGCAGTTTTTCTAATTATTGTCCCAACCTGCCCCCAGGGAACCCCAGGGAACATGATACATCTATTGCTGTTGCTCTTTTGACCTCCAACACTGATCTGTTGCCCAATAAAATATCTCTCAAAGGACAGCATGGTGTCACAGCTGGTTTAGAACCTGAAAAAAACAGCTCTTTGCATAAACAGGCTCCTTTTAAGAAATGTAGCCAATGGTATGTATTTTTTATGGTATTATCTGCTAGCCAATGCCCTCCACTTTGTGCAAAGTACAGAGTCATTAACACAAGTGAACGATGTCATATAATGTAATATCCTCCTCTCAACCACATTTTAGATATACTTTTGTACTTGACAGAGTAGATTAAGTATAATAATTTATAAAGAATGACTGTAATACAAAAAATATTATTTTCTTTTGTAGCTTCTCTTTTCTTCTCTGTATCATGGATCTGCTCCCTCATACTGCAATAGAAAGGATACATTAAAATTAATATTGTAAGATGGGGTTTTCAAAGCAGACTATGGCAGTGAAGTGTACAAAAGCCACTGACATTCAATAGTAGCTAAGTCCTTAACCTCTTTGAAAATTCTCAGCCAAAACCTATTAATGCATACATCAAAGAGATAATACCCACAAATCTAAGAGTTATTTTCCTATCAGCCATTCATTCTCATTTCTAACAGGCCCTTCTTCCACAGATCCTAACCTCCTCTTAGGGTAAAAACCCAAATTGCTTCCATGTCCTTTGTAACTCAGAACTCGTCTTTAGCTTTGACTCTTTTGAGGTGTTTTTATATTTATATAGATCAGTGTCTAAAAGAGACAAACTAGAACTCTTTAATATTGCTTTTTCATCTTTGTCTTGTCTCATCGTTCACTAAGCGTCTTAAAATGAGCACAGTTCATCTAGATATGTTGACTCCTTCCTGTGAAGAGTTAATTAATTCACATGTTGTATCTCTTGCTTAAGCTCACATCTCATATTTTGACAAAAAATAATTCACCCCCACTAGTCTAGCATCCCACTTTGTCAGTCTTTCCTTCTAAAACACAGTGCTACATTATTTGTAGCACATAGCTTGTGGCTTGTCATGTTTTTTACTTCAGTCATTTGTACTAGTTTTTATCCCTCTTGCCCAATCATAGCATGAGGACTTCATTGATTAAATAAATCAGGTATAAAAATTGTGATCTGACCTGCATTTTTGCAATTAGCTATTCAAATAACCCACCAGAAGGCAGGGTTTAATTGTATTCACAGCCAAATGGTGCTGTAGCATCAAAACCTTACTAAGAATCTCCTTCGCTATATTGACACCTTGTGGCTGGTTCATCATAATGCAAAGTATTCATCCAGAGTAGTTTAAATAAGAGGGATTATAATATAAAACCTGTGGGGAAAATATTTTCATTTTAAGTACTCACAGTGGATGGAAGCCTGATAAAGAGTGTGTAGATCAAAATCCATTTTAACTTTTAGTCTGATCTCAGTCCAAATTCAAATATGTATGTCCTTCAGTGCTGAACATAGGGCCAAGAACTATACATTTCCCACTTTCACTACAATTCAGATCTCTGTGGAATCCAACTTTAAATAGTGTGCCCTGAGCTTACCTCAGTTTGCAGCATTTCCAGGTGATATGTTGTACTTCATCCTCCACACTAAATATAGTGGGATAAAGAAGGAACAGCTTTTGTTTCAATGGCACCATATGCAGTAATAGAATGAGATTCAAGTTATATTTGCAGAAGGAAATGAAAACTTTGAAGTATGCCTGGCAAATAATATTCTGGAAAGGTCAGATGGAATGAAGATGCTACATTCGAGCAGTATTTTTACTGCCTAGCTGATGAAGAGCAAATGGCACAGTACAGGAAGTCTTTTTTAAACAGGCAGATAGGCTGTGACATGAACCCGAAAGAGCTCATCTTCTCAATATGTAATCATTGTGTTTGAAACCACTTTCATGTAATCATCCTGAGTAACACATAACTACCATGAATTTACAAAGGAAAGGAATTGCTGAGAGGTTAATAGAGGGGAAGAATTTGAAAAGGATTCAGCTTAATCAGTTACAAACAGTGCTCTGGCCAGCAGTCAGTGAATCACTGAACAACATGTAATGATCTCCCAGGAAGACTTTGGTTTGTTCCTTCACAAAGCTGGAGACTCCCTGTATCAATCACATGAAACTCTGAAGTTAATGATTTCAGTGAAGAACGGTACTTGAATTATGACTTTGGTCTCCTGTGCTCAAATACTGTCCCACAAATTAAGTTATACAGTTTTTGGGAAAGAGAGAATTGGGCGTCAGGTAGTCCCACCTTTCTCCTGCTCGTTTTCAGTTTGGGTTAAGAGGAGGAGGCTGCTTATTGGCCTTGCTGCCCACCTGCAGATGAGTTAGTGTGAGCCACTGCTGGAGATGGCATTCACACCAGGAGAAGAGGTCCACAGTGACCTCAGGCAAATCTTGAATGGCTTTGGGCAAGACTGGATTGTTGCTGCATCTGAAGGAGCTGGGAAGGAAGAGAGCAGGATTGTAACACACAGTGATATCTCTCAAGTTCAGAAGAGGAGACTGTGACAGTGCCTCCACAGTCCTCCACAAGTATAACACTATCATGCGAGACTGGCCCCAAGATCTGGCAAAATCAAGGATGTGAAATGGTGGAGGATGGCAGGAAGGACTGACTGGATCTGCACCCTGTGCAGTTCTATCTCCATCTGGAACTGCACAACAGTTGTTTTGAGGTTTAGACAGTTTAAGAGTTATTATTTTCCTTTGTCTGTTTATTCATTGAGAAAAATCTGTGGTCCCTGACGGTCTTTTGACTATGTGGGAGTTTCTAGCAATACAACTCTACCCGGAAGCAAGTAGGAACTGAGTGATGTGTGGCTCTGCCCATGACAGAGCTTCCAGCAAGCCCAAGTCTTGCTGGGGAAGCCCCGTCCCTCACAATAGGTTTCAGCCAAATAACCTCAGCATGATGACAGCCATTAACACTAAACCTGCAAAACTTTATTAGTTCAAAGTTTGGTAGAGTTAAATGATAATTCTTTGAAAAGAATTACAATAATCTATTCATTGTCATGGAACAAAATACGACTGAAGAAATTCCTCTAAAAATAACTCACTGATACATATTTTTTGTTCTAAACTGGCTTTTTTTTAGAGATTCCTTAACTGAAAATTAATTTACTGACCACATAACAGTAGCTCAATGCCATAATAAGTACCCTCAGTATTGCCATGAAAGGAATTGCTAGAGAAGACACCAGTCTTTGAGGAGAGGTATAAAGGCAGCATGTCTTAAACATAAACTGAAACCTTGTGTCATTACTGATGGAAGTAAATTGATTGTGAACTTCCCTCAGCTCTCCATACATACTTATTCTCATTATTCAGAAAACAAAAAAACAGCTCTGTGAAATTACAGAACTTTTCTGAGTCAAAAGAGAACTGGCTTTTGAAGGAAGGTGGAAAAGACATGGAAAACATTCATGGGAAGTCCAGCACCGTGAAATACAGCAAAATGAGCTGCAGCTACCCTTCAAAGCTTGTGTGAGGACACATCTCAGCAGCAGGATGCCTTTCTATGCTTCTATAGGAGTAACGTATACAACCAGCTATCATGCAGATCAACCCAGAACTGTGGCCATTCCACATGTTCTTTGCGTTAAAGAGGCTTTCTGTCTTAGCAAGCTCTTCAATACCCAGAATTCAGCTTGCAACATACACAGCCCTCTTCACTATGGTACACCATACCCAATAACCAGTTTGCAGAAATGCATTGTATTTTGGAGACTGAGATAAATTCACTAACACACATGAGCTATTCTATGCCTGTTTTCCCCAGTGACAATGAAATTTCCCAAGGATTCTAAGTTTTAAATTTACTAAACCAGAATGACCAAGAAACACACTCTAGACCACACAGAAAGTCTGTGGTATTAGCAGAGAACTGAAACAGATATCAAAGTAATGCTCTGAACACTACACAAGTTTCCTTTCTTTCTTATTCCTCTCTTCCTCTTTCAGTCTAATGAAGACCTATAAAATCTCTTCACCCTTTTAAATCCCCACCCTCCTACCCTTTGGGATCCTGCCCAAACCCCTTCCTGTCTACTACATATTCTCACATCTCCTCTACTTTACTCTTCAGATAGATAACTACAGGAGTGAGCACAGCGGCTGTCTGGGTGACAGCCATCAACCCATATCTCTGCTCTGTGGTTTACGTAGCTTTTGCAATGAATACATACTGACTCACGAAAACTGTAACAGATGTGAGAAAACTACAGCTTCACCACCTGTTGCTAATGTAATGGATTTAATTACTGGCAGACAGCTTGAATTATTTTGAGGTCTGTTACAAAAGGAAGATTCTTCCCCTGTGTGGGAGACCCTTGTCAAGAAAGTTGTGCTTCCATAGAGGTAAATAGCTAAGGCAACAACCATGTGCAGTGAAACCCTCTGGCTCATTACAGACTCCTCCCTGACAGGAATTTCCCCTTGCACCATTCTTTGATGTGTTGATTATTTCTTTGCCTAATTGACCTGACTAATTTATCTCAGGCATATATTTTAAAAGTGTCCACAAACTGACCATAATTTCGTCTACTGCTTTTCCCACCATGCCGATATTCACCCCTGTACTAAGCAGTGCTTTTGCCACCATCATTCACACCAAAGGGCAATAAAACTCAGGCCATATTCACTCGAGGTACTTATTGCAACCTTGAGAGATATCTGTGAATATATCCTGCATGGGCATTTTTTCATTCCAGGAATGGCCTTGTTCAGTGAAATTATTTCTACACATCTATGTGTATATCTGAAAATTTTTGTTTTGATACCAAGAAATGTGAGACAATGAATTTGATTGAGCACTAGTGTGTTTGAGCTAGATTATAGCCTCAGTATGTGCTTCAGGCTGGGAGAATGGTAATTAATATTCTTGTTTATAGCATGATGTCTGCTGAGTGGCCATTAAGCTCAAGAGGTTAAACTGAGCATCTTGATTAGGTATTGACCTGGTAGTATTCAGTTGGAGAAGATAGTGGGCAAGCAGGAAAAGGAGGAATCTTGTGATATTGACTCTATTTACTGGCAAGAGAGCTTGATCTAAGATGTGAAACTGTTTATAAAAAATTTTGACAGAGTCCTTAGTTATTCGCATCAACTTAAGACATGAGTGTGGACCCTACTCATGGGAAAGAAAGCAAAGACCCTCTTCTTGCTCATGGTTCCTATCTGTTTAGAAAAAAAGAAAAAGGCAAGCCCTGTGCCCACAAGAAACCTCTGCTTTCTTCATGTCATAGCAAGGAAGCTTCAAGGAGGCATCTAGTAAAAGCGCATAGCAGCCAATGTGGGACACATAACAGTAGATACATTTCTCACACTGTGGAATACCACCGCATAAATAACTGGCTCAAGACACACTATAGATACACTGTTAATTTAAAATATACTTGCTTTGTAAAGTGAGAATTGTTGGAAGAGCAGTCAATGGCAGAAACCTGTAACCCTAGAGACAACGAGTAAGCAAAACAGAGAACCAGTTAAAAGGCAGCACTAATGACCTTATCTTGGCAAGCAACTAAAGCAGGTGCCACAGATTCCCTTTGAATGCAGCAGGATAACTTATATGTTGAACCACAATACATATGCTGTTGAGTTGTTGCCAATTAAGAGCTGGAAGAAAGAGAAAATAAAACCAAATGGAAGATCAGGAACAGGAAGGTGTAATGTAAAGAAATTGTGACCTTTCTCCCAGGTTTCTCTCACTTCTAGTCTTAAATCCTGATTTTCTGTATAGAGTGGTGTATTTAATTGTCATTATCATCTTTGTCAGCTGTGTTTGGAATGTCATTTGTGCCACTGTTATCAGCATTGCCTCATTGACTGCAGTGTGCAGCTCAGCTTTTGCTGGTCTTTTTTCTAGTCAGCTCTTGCCAGTCCCAATTTTTATTATTACAGGGCCATCATTAGTTGTTTTCTGTAGTAGAAACAAGCAAAGAAACAAACAAAAAATGCCCAAACACACACACAACCCAGGAAAAAAAAAAGAGAAGAGAAAAAAAAATGGAAAGAAATCCATAAGGAAAACAAGGCCTCTTTAAATTCAGCTCTCTGCTCTTCAGGAAGCTAACCAGTCCTCCTGAAAAGAGGCATCGGGGTTGCTTAGGAATAGGGAATAGAAATATGGCATACCACCTGTCAGATGGCTCTTTTCAGGTTATTTCCTAGATAAGTACAATAATTGCAGGGAAGCATCTTTTGTGGCTCTCTGCCCCCTTGCAGTGTCTAGCTTAGCACAAGGGGAAATGCTATGCTTCAGCTTTTGTGTTTTGGCTGTTGGCACCTCTTCTTACGGAGTTAAAATGCAACAATTTATAATTTTGCTTTACCTTGTATTATCTTCATCTAACATTATTTTTAAAATATTACTTTTAGTACTGTAAAGACAGATTTAGGAATGGCTGCCATCGGTCCAGACATAACAATAAAAAAAGTTTCACTAATGATATAGAACAAAAGTTAATACTCCTTATGAAAGAGATTTAGGTTATTAAAAGTCTAATTTCCCTAAGCAAGAGCGTATCACAATACAAGATTGTAATGGGAGGACCTGCACACACCTGTAAGTACATGTGTGAGTTTAAAAATCTTTATAACTCAATTCAAGTGAAATTATATAATTTTGCTGTCACAGTTACAGCCTGCTTCTTGATAATTTTTTTTTCC